TTACAGACTTCCCAAGAACCACACACATGCAGGCTCACGTTACCAGTTACCATGGATACACAGGCTAACGTTACCGGTTACCATGGATACGCAGGCTCACGTTACCGGTTACCATGGATACCCAGGGTCACGTTACAGGTTACCATGGTAACCAAATCTCCTCTGTCAGACATAATTAGATTACAGGAAATGTGGGGATCCGTAACAATGACCAGCAAAACCCACCTGCTGGAGTTTAACTCAGAAATGTGGGGACTTGAGGAAACCAAACAAGCTTAAGTCTCATGAAAGTTCATCTGTGTTGGTTAATGTTAAATGTTAAAAGTTAAAACTTTTTATCCAACACAAGTCTACTAAGTAACACCCGGTGAGAGGGACTCAGTCAAAAGATGTAGGTGAGGATCTTTGGGTCAGATCAAAAGTTTTAACTTTAAACAAGCTTTATTTGTAGTCTTGACAGTCTCCCTTTCATTTCTCTACATAGAGCAGCACAGTGTGACATGTTACGACTCGCCTTACAAGAGACTGTGTTGCACATGTCCATGGCAAAGGTATGAACAGTTAGTCTAACTGTCATAATCATAGCCCTAGTTTCTAACTGTTGCAGACTGAATGCTGCCCAGTTGGGCTGACTTTATTTGCTAAAGAGGCGTGACACGAAGCAAACCATCCTGGTTTGGACAACCCCACCCCTCTAACATCCATAAGCTTTCTAACCCCACCCCTCTAACATCCATAAGCTTTCTAACCCCACCCCTCTAACATCCATAAGCTTTCTAACCCCACCCCTCTAACATCCAGGAGCTTTCTAACCCCACCCCTCTAACATGCATGAGCTTTCTAACCCCACCCCTCTAACATGCATGAGCTTTCTAACCGCACCCCTCTAACATCCATGAGCTTTCTAACCCCACCCCTCTAACATCCATCAGCTTTCTAACCGCACCCCTCTAACATGCATGAGCTTTCTAATGTTTCACTGTATTTACCATGGAATTCAAATATAGTGGCTCAAATAGGTACCTCCTAACTTTTATAGTTTGGAGTTTTGAACAGTTGGTGCACTTGAAGTTGGAAAGTGGCTGTCTATAATTCCACTGGTGTGGCACTTGAATTGTTCTTCGGGTGCAGGTTGACCTTGACATACCAAATGTGACAAATAAAGAGTAAAAACTGCTTCTAATGTGATTTAAGACTAGTATAGGATTCAGGGGCTTTGGCTCTTTTCTGATACTCAATGTCATAGTGAAACCAATATTGCATAAAAACTATACAAGGTATATTTATTTCATCTATAATAACTTACTGTACAAGGTGCAAAGTCATGATATCTATACCATTTAATGAGTTACAATCTGGATTACAGCACTCAGCTGACCAGGTCACAGGTCACTACACGGGAAAAATGTAAACAAACAGGAACAGGACCAGCCTGTAGGTAACTCTAGACCACTTCTGGGGAACTATACACTTCTCACGCTTACAAGTTAAGGAACTGTAGAGACTGCCTTTTACAACTAAAGCTGATGAAGTGCAAAAAGACTCACAAAAACATGGAAAGGTTTTTGGGCAGATTTCGGGCAGGATACTTTCATATTATTAATAACGTTAGGAACAAAAGTTATACCTCAGCTGTGTTACATCTGTCAAGATAAAAATTTAGGCCATAACAAAAATTAACATCTGATTATGTTGAAAATGAAATGTGAGGAAAGATTTAAAGGACTAGTGCACTTGGCATAATTATGCATCATTGCAGAAAACTTGACAATGTGTAGCAGTGAGCATATAATTGAGGATTAGGCAAATTGTACTTACCATGAAGGATAATCCCAATTATACCTGCACACTCCCTATTTGGGTATATCATTTACCTTATGCAGACTTCAGAGCCGTGGACAGCACAGCCTGGCCAAACGTGTGTTGGTTGTTGTCCCTCCTGTAGTACTTCAGGAAGGTAGACTCTCGTGACCAGTCCGCTGCATTCATGATGCTATGTAGAGACACCCCAGCAGCTGTAGCAGCTGAAGTGGATGCTCCTCGAGTAGAATGAGCTGAGAAAGTTGCTGTGTCAACACCTGCCGTGCCTAACACTGACTTAACCCACCTGGCCAGGGTCGCAGAACCAACTGGCCTGTGTGGTC